AATACTCCTCTGATTACTGGCCCAGGTGGCTCCCAGAAACTGCACTTTTGAGCAGGTCCCTGCATCTCATCAGTGTTGTCGGCCCTTCCTGCATGTCGTAAGATCTACAACCTTAGGTACGGACTGGTCAAGGTGTTTCTTGGTCAGGCCAGCAATGAGGATGTCAACACAGTGGATGAAAAGTAGTTCTGGGGATAACTGGGCTTGCTGCAGATCTAGGCCGACCACTGGCGATGTATTGCAGGGGAATTGAGGTATCGCTATGGACTAAATTGTGTCCCCCCTAAATTAACATGTTGAAGCCCTAACCTCCAATTTGACTGCATCTGAAGTCCTAAAACGAGAAATGAAGACAGATTGCAAAAGTGTGCTTATTCTTCAAGACAAAGGAAGAATAACCCTGAAGGTGATTCAGAGATGATCAGGGTTTACCACCTCGGTTTCAAACAGACCAGACAGCTTCCACAGAAGCCATGGGGGCAGAGCCACCCAGAGCCTTGGGATAGACTCCCCTGGAGCTCTGACTCCATCTGAGCTCTGGATGCTCCCCAGAGCATCCAGAAGGTGGGACCATCACCCCAGTGGTCCTGGAGGGCAGAGGACCGACCAAAAAGTTATTCTTGAGCCTTAAGATCTCATGTAACTTGCTTTGCTAAGTTTTGGACTTGCTCAGGCCCTAGCACACTTTCTTCCTTCTGATTTCTCCTTTTTGGAATTGGAATGTGTGAGATTACAATGGTCTCTGCCCCCAGTTCCTGGCACAGAGCCCCTGAAACCCTTGGAATTTTCTAAGTTATAAGAGCTCTAGGAGCATCTTTTGTTCTAATATTTGGTCTTTGACCCTGGTTCTTGACACAGGGGTCCTGAAACCTTTGTAATTTCCTAAGTGATAGGAGCATCTTTTATTCTAATAAAGCAACTCTGGGTGAGCTCCTGGATGAGAGCTGGTCACCAGAAAGACCACGCCATGATTCAGAGCTCGGAATTTTCAGCCCCCTTCCCCCAGTCCCGTTCTCCTGATAAGAGAGAAGGGCTGGGAATGGACTTAATAATTGACCATGCCTACATGACGAAGCCTCCATAATAATCCCAATAGGACCAGGTTCAGAGAGCTCCCCAGTGGGTGACACATCCTGACTCCACAGGGACAGAAGCTCTTGCGCTCAAGACCTTCCCAGCCCTTCCCCTATGTATCTCTTCATCTGGCTATTCATATGTATCCTTTATCATATTCCTTTATAATAAACCGGTAAATGTAAGGAAACTGTTTTCCTGAGTTTTGTGAGCCACTCTAGCAAACTAAACCCAGAGGGGGCTGTTGGAACCTCTCATCTATAGCTGGTTGGTCAGTAACACAGGTGATAACTTGGGCTTAGAACTAGTATCTAAAGTTGGTGGGGGTGGGGGGATGAGGTGTGTGTGAGTCTTATGAGACTAAGCCCTTAAGCTGTGCAATCTATTTCCACGTAGTGTCAGAATTGAGTTAAATAGTAGGACACCCAGCTGGTGTTGCAGAGAATTAGTGTGGGGGAAGCCACCCACACATCTGGTGACCTCAAGTGTAAGAACTGAAACGTTCTGAGTAGTGCAGGTGACACAGGAGGGAAGAACTGCAGGTTTTTTCAACATACAATGTTGATCCTATAACTGTCCCAGCACTGTATTTTTGGTTTTTTTTTTTGTTTTTTTTGTTTTTTTTGCGGTACGCGGGCCTCTCACTGTTGTGGCCTCTCCGGTGATGGAGCACATGCTCCGGACACGCAGGCCCAGCGGCCATGGCCCACGGGTCCAGCCGCTCCACGGCATGTGGGATCCTCCCGGACTGGGGCATGAACCCCGCATCCCCTGCATCGGCAGGCAGACTCCCAACCACTGCGCCACCAGGGAAGCCCCCAGTACTGTATTTGGGAAGCACATAATCTGTCTGGTTTCACAGGTTCACAGCCGGAGAGGAACTCTGCCTCAGGATGAATCGTAGCTCAAATCTCACCCATATGTGATTTAGATGAGAATTTGTGGACTTCAGCCTTTCCACTAGGAGTGCTGAATTAAGACTTTGGGGCTGTTAGGATGGAATTAACTTATTTTGCAAATGAGAAGGACATGAATTTGGGGAAGCTGGACTCAGAATTTATGGACCAAACGTTTGTTTCCTTGAAATTCACATATTGAAGCCTAATCCCCAGGGTGATGGTAGGTAGAGTTGGGCCTTTGGGAAGTAACTGGGGTTAGATTAGTTTATGTGGGTAGGGCATTCATGATGGAAGTAATGTCCTTATTAGAAGAGGAAGAGACAGAGAGCTGCTCTCTTTCTTTACAATGTGAGGCTATAGCAAGAAGATGATGGCAGCCAAGACTCGAAGGATCCTTACCAGAACCTGACCATGTTGGCAACTTGATCTTGGACTTCCCAGCCTCCAGAACTGTAAGGAATAAATGTCTGTTGTTTAAGCCACCCAGTCTGTGGTATTTTGTTATAGCAACCCAAACTAAGACAGCTGCTAAAGATATGTCCCTCCCAATCCCCTTCCTCCCAAAAAGGGATCAGGCCCAGTTATTTTTATGCTTCAAAGAATAATCCCCTCATTATGCAAACTCTTCCAGGTAATAAGAGAATAAAACAAAACTTCCAAATTCATTTTGCAAAGCAAATTGAATCTAGTTCTGTACTTAAAAATTAAAATAAAATCACCACAAAAAAAAGGATTTTATTCCAGGAACACAAGGAAATTTCATTTGGAAACTTGTCAGCAAAATCGATTCTGAAAAGAATGATAAAGCCATAACATTACACCAACAGAATTTTAAAAGTCGGACAGAACTTAGCATCCATTCCTAATAAAAACTTAAGTGTAATAATAATTTGCTATAGGGTATACTACATGCCAAGTATTGTTTCAAGTGCGTTACACTTATGAACTGATTTTATCCTCAAGGCCCTATGAGGTAGCTCCATTTTACACATGGAAGACAAAAGGAGGCAAAGCAACTTGCCCAGGATCACACACCTAAAGAAAGTGGTGGAGGCAGGATTTGAACCTAGGCTTCCAGGCACAAAATCTGTGCTCTTTACCACTATAACATATTGCTTCTTCTAAAAATAGGAATAGAAGAAAACTTCCCAAACAGAGTAGAATATTTATCACAAACAATAAGGGTGAACGCCATATAAAACTGTGAAATCCTAAAAAACCTTTCTCCTGAAAGTTAGGAACAAGACACTGAACGCCTGTTATTCACTATTCAACATTTTAAAAATATTTGTGCTCATGCACGACATAAGTGGCATACAGATTAGAATTAAGAGAACACCAATCGTTACTTATTGTATACCTAGAAAAGCTAGGAAATGAAACTGAAAAACTCTTCAAACCAAAACTAATCTAGCAAGGTAATTGGATCCAAGTAAAAATTTTTTGAAAATCACTAATTATTAAAACACTAGCAATAACCAGTAGAAATTGAGGTGTGGCTTTTAAACGTAGCCTCTTTTCCTCCAACCAAGAGCCTGAGTGCTTTTCTAGCAAGTAAGGATATTCACTGCTACTTAGCACCTAACCCGGACGGGTGGTGGTCAGCTAACAGGGTTATGAACAGTGCTGGACCCCTCCCTCCAGAGACTTAGTGTGGTACGGTATGAGCAGAACCAGAAGATAAAAAATTACAATACTCGACAAAGGGTTCTCTACTAAAGACATAACCAGTCATGTTGAAATCAGAGTAGAGGGCTGGACCCGTGTGTTCATATGGGGTTAGGCTCTCCCCTGGAATCTGGGAGCTTCCAAAGTAAAATATTTTTAAAAAGAAAGTCCTATCGGTTTAAAAAAAAATGAAAATAAACACCAAAAATATAGCTATAACAGAAATTTAAAATATTCACAAATGGCAAATTTCCAGTTCTGTCCTCGGTTCAGTAATTTTTTAGGCTCCTAATAAACACTAACATTTTCTGAGATGCCTCACCCAGGATCATATCTAATTCTTATTTTTTATTTTTTTTTGTGTGTGTGGTACACGGGCCTCTCACTGTTGTGGCCTCTCCCGTTGCGGAGCACAGGCTCCGGACGCGCAGTCTCAGTGGCCATGGCTCTCGGTCCCAGCCAGGCTCCGGACGCGCAGGCTCAGCGGCCATGGCTCACGGGCCCAGCCGCTCTACGGCATGTGGGATCTTCCCGGACTGGGGCACGAACCCGTGTCCCCTGCATTGGCAGGCGGACTCTCAACCACTGCGCCACCGGGGAAGCCCCTAATTCTTATTTTCTTGAGCCTCAACTCTCTTCCCCTTCTTCTCCACTGTCTCGGAGACATAAATCACAGCTCACAAAAATCTCTCTCCTCTAGGTTATGTGCCTGACATTGCCCCTCTAACCTCCTCCTCCTCTGCCACACTGCTGATCCTGTCATATTGCTAAGAGGAAGAGGGTAGCTACCAGGGGCAAAGATCCCCTAGCATTGAGGCCCTACTACAAGGATGGAAAGAAAAACTTGTGTCTGATACATGATTGTAGAAGAGGAAATCCCCTGAAGAGATTTTCTTATGCCTTTGAGGTATGAAAGTTGGCCCAGAAGATAATCACAATAATTAAGCGTACACCTCTCACCTAAAAATCACATGACAGTTGCAGGCATCTAGAACTAGTTGGTAAGGAAATCAGAATGGTGTGACTCTATTATCTTGTCACAAACTTCATTACTGTTCATTTCAATCATCCAAGAATGCTAGGAACTGAAATTGCCATGGAAGTTGAGTCTTCTTTGCAGTAAACTTTGATGCTGTTCTTGTACTTAGACAGCAGGGTGGAGAAAGCTAGTACAGAACCGGAGTCCGTGTTCATGGCAAAGTACATTATCACTGGAACATGACAGCTGCCTCCAATACCTAGATACATACATATACACACACACCTGCACACACTCAAACACAAATCCATTAACTCTCTGAGGCTGAGGTAACAGTAGTAAGACTCTAAAGGACACAAGGAGAAGATATGAATGAGGCCTTTGTATTTGATATCCTATGATACCCATCTTTAGAAATTTTAGGTCTGGTGGTGAAAGGGGAGTTCATGCCCACTTTAAGCATGGTTCAGTTGGAGAGGCGAGTTTTTAAAAGCTATTTAACAACTAGAATATGCAAAGTATTATCTATATGCTAAAAGAAATAGATACTATACCCAACCTGAAAGCCTACATGAAGTTAGTATAAAAGGACACAAAGGGGCATTAGGTTGAGAATTGACAAGGCAATTATATAACAATTGCAAATTACAGCACAGGTTAATTCAAAACACTGAGGTCAATCAACAGGTTAGGAGGAAAAAAGGAGCATTTTAAGAAGAAAGTCCTTCAGAGATGACCTAGATCTTAAAGGTTCAAGGGACACAGATTGGCCAACAGGAAGAAAAGCTTTTCTAGGTAGAGAACACAAGTGATGAGAGTCTAGATTAAAGTAGTTTTAAAAGGGCCACATTCAAGAGGTAGAAAGTATGACTCAGAGTCTTAGAGAATGACTTTATATAAATGGTAAAATGGAGGAGGTGGAATAGAATAAGGAAATATCTCTTTCCTTAAGAATATAATTGTGGGACAAATAATTAAGAAACAAGATAGATTTTAATTTTTTTTAAAAGTGAAAGAAGGGAATTCCCTGGTGGTCCACTGGTTAGGACTCCTTGCTTTCACTGCTGAGGGCGTGGGTTTGATCCCTGGTCGGGAAAGCTCCCCCACAAGCCGCATGGCGTGGCCAAAAAAAAAGTGAAGAAAAAGGAAACCTACAAGCACATGAAATGTGTAGTCCCTTGTGGGGAAGGATGGTACTGTTACTCCCACTCTCCCACCTTCCTGACCACCAGAGAGCATTTAGTGAATGATCCACTTTGATTAGTGGTTCCAAGAGGAGACCACGGTGAGCATACTTCTTCTATAGAAACCTTAACTCAGAGTTCCTTGCTGTCTTAGAGAATCACGTCTTAAAAAACAGACCGAGCCAGACCTGACTGCTTTTCTCCAGTGTGAGTTCGCTGGTGGTGATTGAAAGTAGAACGCTGACTGAAGGCTTTCCCACATTCAATACATTCATAGGGTTTCTCTCCAGTGTGAACTCTTTGGTGCACAGTGAGTTGTGAGCTGTCACGAAAAGCTTTCTCACAATCTTTGCATTTATATGGTTTCTCCCCAGTATGGGTTCTCTGATGTACCATAAGGCTAGAATTATGACTGAAGACCTTCCCACATTCATTACATTCATAAGGTTTCTCACCAGTGTGAATTCTCTGATGAATAATGAGGTATGAGTTTTGATTGAAGGATTTTCCACACTCATTGCATTTATAGGGCTTTTCACCCGTGTGAAGTCTCTGATGTCGAATGAGACATTTACTCAGACTGAATGCCTTACCACACTCATTACATTCAAAGGGTTTTTCTCCAGTATGAATTCGCTCATGGTCAGCAAGTTGAGAGATCTGATTAAAGGCTTTCCTACACTCACTGCATTTGAATGGTTTTTCCCCAGTGTGGAGGCTCTGATGTCGAATAAGACATTTACTTCGACTGAAGGCCTTGCCACATTCATTACATTCATAAGGCTTCTCCCCAGTGTGGATTCTCTGATGGTCAATAAGATTTCTGTTAGAACAGAAAGCTTTCCCACACTCATTACATTTGTAAGGTTTCTCACCAGTGTGAAGTACCTGATGGCGGACAAGGCTTTTACTCCGACTAAAGACTGCTCCACATTCATTGCATCCATATGGTTTCTCCCCAGTATGGGTTCTCTGATGGTCAAAGAGTTTGGAACTCTCATTGAAAGCTTTTCCACATTCAATACATTTATACGGTTTCTCCCCAGTATGGAGTCTCTGGTGTTGAATGAGATGGGAGCTGTGGCGATAGGTCTTACCACAGTCACTGCATTCATAGGGCTTTTCCCCTGTGTGGATTCTGAGATGGACTATAAGCTGAGAGGTCTGCCTGAAGGTCTTGCCACACTCATTGCACTCATAGGGTTTCTCGCCAGTGTGGATTCTCTGATGCCCAATGAGGTGAGAACTCCAATTAAAAGCTTTGCCACATTCATCACATCGATAGAATTTCTGCCCCTTCAGAACTCCTTGATGTTCTGCAGGACTGGAGGACAGGTCTGGATGTCCCCCAAATTCCTTATATTCATCACACCCATCTTTTGTGGATTTATTTTTATCTTCCTGTGTTATTTCCAAGAAATCCCTTTCCAGTCTGGTCCCTTCTTCACCTGAGGGTTGAACTTCTAGCTTCTCTAAAGCCTCTTCACAGGCATCTCCAGCTTCTGGTTCTCCTGGAATCATTCCACAGAGTACTACTGAGGTCCTATCAGATGACTTGAAAACTTTAGAAAGTTCCTGCTTTGGAGGCAACTCTGAACTCTCCATCCTGTTCTCACCTGCTGCCAAAAGAAAGAAGAAAACAACTTTCACTCATTTCTTGTCCTACTGAAGAAAAAGAATCATCAGGAGTCTATGTACTTGAAAAAACTTCACATTACACGTAAGGAATGAGGAGACACATTAAGAACAGGAGAGGGCTTCCCTGGTGGCCGATGCAGGGGATGCAGGTTCATGCCCCGGTCCGGGAAGATCCCACATGCTGCGGAGCGGCTGGGCCCGTGAGCCATGGCCACTGAGCCTGCGTGTCCGGAGCCTGTGCTCCGCAACAGGAGAGGCCACAACAGTGAGAGGCCCGTGTACCGCAAAAATAAATAAATAACAGGAGAGAAAATGGGAAATGGCTCAAATTTTTCTTCATGGACAGAAAAACAAAGAAGGGAAGCTGGTCAGTGGAGGAGGGTGGAAGAACAGCCCTCAGGACAGAGGGATGCTGAGCCAGCACAGCCAGGTGAATAGGCCAGTTGAAAGGCAAGAGACCAGACTGTAAAGCATGGTGTGATCTTCCAGAAGTCACTTAGATGTGATGTCTCCATAGTAAAATGAGGAACCCTAAGGTCCTTTCCAACCATGACATTGTATGGTTCCACAGTTCTCAGCAAAGATGTTGGGGAGAGAGAGTGGTGGCAAATACCTCAAAACAAATATGAGAAACAATGTGGGCAAACCTGAGAGTAGAAAGCAAATTTATATTATGAGGATGTGATTAGGAAAAAGTGTACATAAAGAAGTGATTCTGGTATAACAGGACAGTGACAAGATTTGGAGAAGCCATGGGTAGAGTAATACTGGGGAAAAGTATTGAAGGGGAAAGCAAAGCTGTAAAATTGGGTACCCCCTAGTCCCTGGAGCACTGGACTGGTAGGTGTCAGTAGGCACTCCTATAAAAATTAATTTTTATAATTTGAAACGTAAATCAAAATACATGTTTTGTATCTTGATAATCTGGAGTCATAATGAGACTGACCAGCTGAGTATCTGCTTTTGAATTCTAGAATTTTTGAATACAAAAGTTGGGAGAAGGCAGAGCAATCACGGTCATACCTAAACACAGAAATATTGGTTCCTTTCAATCACATCTTAACCAAGGCCGCAAGCCATCAAACCACCTTAGCATACGGAAAGTTAAAGATATTTGGTGCATTGATTCTAAGCTCACCCTCTCCAGAGTAGGCTACTGCCCTAGACCGGTCAACCCCAGAACCTGCCCTGACAACAGCCCCTTCCAGGAAGCAGCCCTGCCCCTGTCTTTCTGAAGGGGAAGCTGAGGCAACCATGCTTTGTGCCAAGCAACCCAGCTCATCCCATGATGGACAACAGGTGATTGGAACAGGGCCAAGCACTAGACCCCAGTGTAGCTTATCTGTAGATTAGTCATCAGCCTCTGCGTGGCCTGGGCCAAAGTACTGCTCAAAGATGATATTTAATGGCTGAACCATCCTTGGAGTCCCTTTTTACATAAATTCTAAACGGAAGGATGGAAAAACTAAGGAAATTACAAGAGCTCAAGCTGAAATGATGCATGGAGAGAAGGCAACCATCAGGAGCCACAGCAAGCAGAATATAGGAGGAAACAGAAAGTCTAATTAAGAAGGAGCTCGGAAGGGGAAAAAAGATTCAGAGTAAATAAAGAGAATGGGTATCAGTGGGAGGAGCAAATGGATACGCAGGGCACAGCTGTCTTACGACACTGGTGTAAAAATCCTTTCACTTCCACTGCTGAGGTTCCCAGGTTCCCACAAGGCTTCGTTTCCCGAAGTCTGGTCTAGCTGGTCAGTCTGTTCAGGGCTTCCATTCCTTTAGTCTTACTGTAAGTAACTTAGCTCATCACTTACAATAACTGAATGGCACTCTACTCCTTCCAACTACAAACTCTAATAAACTGGCCCAGCTCAGTTAATAATAAGGAGAATGTTAGTAACTATTAAAGTGGGTGATGATGGAGAGGGGTTCATTATACTATTCTCTCCCTTTGTCTTTTTATATTTTCATAATAAAAAGTTAAAAAAGAAAATGAATATACCAAAGAAAGTGTAAAGAAGACAGACTCTAAGTACCGGGGAACAGAGTCATTACCCAGTGAGGCCAGGCTGCAGCAATTTTGCAGCATGATGTTCCAGTACAGGGCTCTCTGGCTGAGTGCCAGACCTTTCCACTTTTGCTGAGTATAGTCCACAGACAGGAACTCGAACACTGCAGCCTCCTGGAATGACACGTTTCTACTGCTCAGGGACATTCCCAGTCTGAGGGGCAGAGTCATTAGGGGCACTGAGAGCACAGGGTCGGGGCCCTGGTGGCAAAAGGGGTGGGGGGAGGGTGGGAAGCTGAAAGGACACATTAATAAAAGGAGAAGTCCAGGGCAAGATACAGTCAATGAACTCGGTGGACGGAAGCAGCTCCAGGGGAAGCAGTTAGGCGGGGAAGCCACAGGAGCAGACTCAGAATGGGCCAGAGGCCCGGAGATGAGCTCTAGCTATTCCTGGGCCACAGACTTGGAACTCAGGAGCTCACCTGGGGCCTGACCATCCGGAGCACAGTTGCCGCTGCTTGGTCTCCTACGTTCCCCACTTGGGGAAGGGCAGGCACCAGGGAAGCATGCTGAGCTGAGGGAGGAAAGAAAGCTCTGAGTGGGACCAGCCCTGCTCTTGGCTCCAATGAGGTCTGGATCCCAGCAAGTGGATTCAGGAGAACCCAGGTGGCTCCACACACACGGACCCTCATCCCTGTTCCATAAAGGCATTATCCTTTGTGAGCTGTGAACTTTTCCTGGAGGCAAGAAGGTCCCTGTTCAAACCGAACTGGCGGTTCCTTCCAGCCCTCTCTCTCCCACTCTCGGAAGGAAGCTACACTTCTGACCACCTTCTCTCCCATGGCTTCCCCAGCAGCAGCCTGCCTGGCCTCCCCCTCACCTCTCTGCCCCTCATTCCCTGGCTTCTCTTCCTTCACCTGCCCTCTCATCACGGACACGGTAGGCGTTCAGGTCTCAGAGGTTCTCCTTTCCGTCTCTCAGAAATCTCATTCTCTAATGCTGCTCTCACAGTTCCTTGTTCTCTCCTCCACATCTAACACAAGCTCTAATTGCCTACTGAACATTTCACCTGGTGTCCCATAGTAGCATAAACTCAGTGTCAAAAACGCATCTTCTTACTATCTTCATTTCCTATCTTCCCACGTTTTGTTAATGATTCCAGACATCAGTCAAAACCTTTAATTTACACTCTTTTATCTAAACCCACATCTAACAGATATTCTCCAAACTGATATTCAGATTCAACACAATCCCTTTCAGAAACCCAGTTGGTTCCTTTGCAGAAATTGACAAGCTGATAATAAAATTCACTGAAAATTCAAGAGTTCCAGTACAAGGCAAAAGAAACTTGAAGAATAAAAATAAGCTGAGGGAATTCCCTGGCGGTCCAGTGGTTAGGACTTGGCACTTTCACTGCCATGGCCTGGGTTCAATCCCTGGTCAGGGAAATAAGATCCCACAAGCTGCACGGCACAGCCAAAAAAAAAAGAAAAAAAAAAAGTTGAAGGATTCACACTTCACAATTTCAAAACATTTGACAAAGCAGCACTCATCAAGACAGTGTGATACTGGCATAAGGATAGACATATATCAGTGAAATAGATTAAGAGTCCAGAAGTAAACCGATACATCTACAGTCAACATATTTTTGACAGAAGTCCCAAGACCACTTAAAGGCGAAAGAGACTTTTCAACAAATGGTGCTGGGAAAACTGGATGTACTCATACAAAAGAATGAAGTTAGACCTGTACCTCAGACTATATATGAAACTTATATGGACAGCAGGCCTTGGCACCTGTTGCAAACTGGCCCCACTGCTCTGTGTACCAAATCACAGATGATGGCTAGCTTTCCCTGAGGGCATGGAACCCTCTGTCTCCCACCATGGTTAAGCAAATTTTTAAAAAATCACTACCTTCATCCACGATTAAAACAGAGGCCATGATCTCCTATATTTGCTACAAACCAATACCTAGGCAATGTCTCCTGGACTCAGTGAGCACTGCTAGGACTGACAAAATAGTGACAACCATAAACTGAGATGGGAAGAAGGCTCACACCGGAAAGCCTGTCATCACTCGGATAAAAGAAACTGCAGTGCTGCTACAAGGGGATGGAGAATCAATTGAAGAACTACTTTGGAAGCTGCTGAAGTTCTGGCAGAGAAATGAAACTTTCCTGTGAAAGAAGGGGGTGGGGTAAGGAAAATAAATATACAGAGAAAACAAAAGCAAAGGAAAACTGAGAAGTGATAAGGTACATAACTGAAGGCCTATAAAAAGAGACTTGAAGACACAACAAGGGGAGGCTGAAGAGGAAAGGTGCCTCCGGAGCGGCAGGGGCAGGCTCCAGCCTTGCTGAGCCGCAGCAGCACCAACGGGAGCTGCTCAGGAGGGAGCTGAGAGTCAGAGAAAGAGGCGAGAGACTTTCCCAGCCAAACTTGCAGAAAGACTGGGGAAGAGAAAGACACTCAGGTACAGAGAAATCCGGGAGTGAGACGCAACA